CCCCCCCCCCCAAATAGTCTGGGCTCCGTCAGGTAGCTGAGTTACCTTCAAAAAGGTACCTACTTCCTGATCGAGTGAACTGGCCGCCCCTCCCGCAAGAAAGACAGTTAATCGCGGGAGGCAGGGGGGGGGGGGCCTAAAATCACTCTAGGCGCAGAAGATAAGGTTTTTGACGATTTTTTTCTGAAAGTACATGCAATGCCGAGAATTTTGCCGCCTTGTTTGCATTTGTGCACCTTTCTGAACCGGACTTACGATTTTTTAAAAACTGGCCTATTTTGAACTTTGACCGAGGGTAACTCGAGAACGAAAAGTCGTGGCGACCTCCGGTTTGCGCCAAAAAGTTTCTTATTTTATTACCTTTCCAACGATGTATCACAAGAGGGGGGTTACCATTTGAAAATTTCGAGTTAGTGTGCGCCCCCCGCGGGGGGAGCGCCCCCCCCCCAAAAAAATTTTGGATGTGCCAAAAAGTAGTTCTTATTGATCTAGGAGCATCCCCAAAAATTTCGTTTCGATACAAGCATGCGTTCAAAAGTTAGAGGGGGGGGGGGTCGGGGACTTTTCGCTCACCCTGTAGGTCGATCCTCCGAATGTAATTTGCTCATAAACCTCCTTGGCCCGTCCTGACAACTTTCGCTGAGCAGGTATTCCAAAAATCTGGTAGCGGTCGCTCTGAGAACATCCCGGGACTTTTCATTATGATATCCTGGATGTTTCCGCGAATATTCCCGTATAATTCTGGGAAATGAGGTAAATACGACGTCAAACACGGCTCGAATTACCACAGGCGCCTCGTTTAAACGCAACCGAAGTCAGCGGGGCGAACCGCCTCATCTCCCTAACGCTCCGCCGCACCCCACGATTCCACACATTGTTCCAGCCCTACGTCACAGGGAGCTATCGATTTATATCCATTGCCCGGATTGAAAGAGGTTATGTTATTGTTTGGATTCACTTCAGCGTTTAGATCCAATTTTTCAGCGGTGGGTCCGCTATTATGACGTCACGTTCGATACCGGCCTCGAGATTCGAGATGCGCGCTGGGAGCCCGCGTCCTCGCCCTGCGCGGCGGCGGCGCGCCGAAGGGATTTCATCTCGACCGTGTTCGAGTTGATGCCGTCCCACAAGTGTCCGAGCCTCGGTCGACGCTCCGCGCCCCTTCAATCCCGCGACGCAACACGTCCTGCACCACGCTCCACGCTGAATCCACCCTCCAGGCATCCACTCTCGGTCCACCGTTGTGATCTCAACTCGCCATTTATCTGATATTCCGGTGAGTGTTCAACCTTGCGGGGTTTTAGTCAATTTAAGTCGTTTTGTAAAACGTGGGAAAAATTGTCAGTTACTGCGGCGGCGCAAAGAATACAAATTCAACGGATGATACCTTGAGTGGACCAAATCCATCTGAAGGAATCAACCTCGGATCCCATAGCCACCCTTCTTCTTCTTTTTTTTTATTATTTCTGAGCGAAAATTCTTGCAGTTTTGTTTTCAAAATGACAAGAAGATAAAGAGTACCTAAAAATGGGCCGCTAGATAAGGTATGAGGCGTTGAAAAATGGCACGTGTTTTCTCTTCAATATCTTTTGTAGATTTGCACAACAAGATAAGTTCAAAAATTAGCTCTTGAACGAAATATTAAAAAAATTTTACACAAATGACGTCCTCTGTATTCTTGCAATTTAACCTATGTTGACTGTAAAAACCCAAATCTTGTTCATGAGTTATTTTCTCAGACTAGCCGTCATATGATTCGTTTTTTCCTTGAAATTTTGAGGTGAAATTGAACCGATTATTTTCCAAATTAAGTAAGCGCCAAGATTGCGAACGCGAGAATAACATGAAAACCCGTTTTATTCGCTTTGTTAGCAATCTTCGAATTCCAATAAATGCATGTTCTTTAGAGAACTATTTTGAAATCAAACAAGATTGATTACACCAGAGAAAACACACAAAAAACAACCCCTCTACTACCAAAGTAGAGATTGGCGCTTACATGATTTGGAAAATAATCGGTTCAATTATGTTCCGTCCAACGCTTCAATTCTTACTTACTCCGGTAGCCCATTACCTATATTTTGAGACATTTTCTAACGTTAGAATACATTATACAGGGTTATTCAAAAGTCACGCACCACTGGCCATGAAGGGGGTGGCCATTTGAAATTTTTGAGTTGCCCCCTCCCCCAGAGGGGATCAAAAACTGGAAAGTACCTAAAAAATTTTCCCCCTCAATATGAGGGTAAACGTCTCAAACCGCAAATCGATATCATAATCAGAGCTAAAGTTGTGGCCAGTGGTGCGTGATTTTTGAATAACCCTGTATACCGTGTTTAACGGGAAGATACCGGGTCATATCACGACCAAACCCAAAAAAGGAGGTTTGAAGATTCATTCCTTCATAAAACTCGATGTCGGTGATTTTTAACGCTTATTTTCTTATTCGAAATATTTTTTCTTGACTTTAAATTTTTGACAAGAGAATATGTTTAGCTATAGTTTAGCTCAAATCTACTCCTTACTCAATATATTTCCCAAATGGGGCTTGGTTCTGTTCTATTTCGTTCAGGTTAACAATAAAATCTGTTCCACTTTTTGGCATTTCCTATCCGAAGAAGGTTTTAATCCCTTCAATACAGGAGCACCCACGCACTCTATTTCCAAATTTTTTATCATTTATTTCATTCTTACTTTTCTCCGGACCGATAATCTCATCAACTTTCTATGCTTTGTTCATAAAGCAATATTAATCCTTGATGAACTTTGTGCAGAGCTTTGCGCTTTGTGCTTTGCGCTTTTGTGATCCTGGTGCTACTTAAAAAGAAAATTACAACCTGTCCAAGGTCAATCCTCTAATTTACAAGGGAGTTTAAGAGTTTGTAAACAGTATACAATGTCATAATATAAAAAAATGTTGACTGAAATCATAATAACATTCTGCAGACGTGGGTGCCTTTTTTAAGTGCTCCCGTTTTCTTTCTCTGCGTAAAAGGAAAGTAATAAAATTAATAAAAGTCGCACCATATACGCAACCTTGTTGAATAGTCGGTCTTCTGCGGTACTTAGAGAATTTAATTAACAACAAAGAGCTTGAGCCGTTGAATACCTTGGCTTATCTGTTAATAGAGTTTTCTTATCACGATGTCAAAGAGGATTTTTAACGCTTGTCGCTAGTTTTCTGGTGTATTTTGTTACTTGAATCGCTGTCCTCACCTATGTGAGGTAAGGCGATATTCTTGGATCTACTCATCTCTATTCGGACGTGTCTCTATCTCACATCCATACTCAAATTTGCCGGCAAAGAGGAGGGAAAGGCAAACATGTACAAAACACGCTCTTATTGACATAAAACGTACTCATTTAAACAAATATTGCGCGGGACAATTCGTAGCTACTCTGACACAAGTAGAGTGTTACTGCTCTTTGAGCCCTATTGCCCATAAAATTCTTCGCTTTTCAGGGTTCACTCAGCAGTAGAGATACGCTCTTACTTCAGACGAGTGACAAAGTGGACGTCACTAAGCAGAGGAAATCTACGTACAAAGGGAGATGTAAAAAACGCATATCCACCCTTGAAATTTCGTGATCATACGTCATTTTTTGAGGCTTCCTTAACATACACATTTAATTGTGCTTAATAGCAGCTGATTAAAATCGAATTTTGATTAATCGTTTAAGAAAAGAGCACGAAGTCCGAAATTTTGGTTCTCACAGAGCACTGAAGTTCCCGGTCAGGTTATCGAGGTTTTCGGTCATACAAATCAAACTTCAGTTCAAGTGAGAGAAGTTTTGTTTGTTATACTAACTTTCGATCGCCTAATACTTCGGTTAGGTACCTAAACCGCAACAAAAACTTCAGGGATCCATATGAACCGAAGTTTGGTCCTTAATTAATCTGTAACTAAAGTTTCCTCCCAGTGAAACACGTATGATTTCTGCGGCACATGCAGCAGAAAATTCTGTTCGTCAGGGCAACATCCTTTTCGGTTCTAGACCAATGGGTCCCGGGTTCGAATCCCAATGGTGGCGAGACATTTGAAACGACGAGTGGATAGGCTGAAACAGACTCCACTTGGCAATTATCCTTGAAAAGTTGAAAACCTGGAGCATGGATGTGCACTAACCCTAACCTGATGCTAATTCAAGGTTGCGGAATCCTCAAATGGATTAAAGACTTCTTATAGATGTTTTCTTTATAAAAAAGAAGAAGAAAAAATCGGTGCAAAAATCAACCCTCGGCTGATCAAGGTTGAAAATATTTTTCAGGTTTAATAGGACTCATGGTATCCAAATGATCTTCTCCAAAAAAAAATTAGGATATAGTGGTGTTACGAACTACACATTTTGTGAATTTTACTGTGTTCTGAGGCGCTCATTTTGACTTTGCTGCAATTTTACCAATAAAAAAGTTTACCTCCTTAGACGTGCCTCCTGTGCTGCAACAGACCTGCTGTGATGTAATTGTGTGCCAGGTCTTCTTATCGTAGAATTCTTCATTTGGATGTAAAATTAGCACAATAAAAAATGGACAAAAAATTTGCTGTTCTGAGCTTTGAGGGGGAAGAAGGATTGAATGCGTTCCATTCCTGAGGACAGAGAATGGACTGAGGCATGTGAAAAAAAAATCACGTGAAGAAGATACTTCTTTTCCCCCTCAATGTTTCCATTAAATGCACCTCAATTAGACTCAAACTTTGAGCCTCCCCTTTAAGAGCCAGCTTTGAGCCTTAAAGCCAGCTCTCTGCCTCCGAGGAGCGCTGTTTTTATTTTTATTGATTTGACAAATCTTTTTTATTTATCGGTGATTTATGTGTGCTCGGCATTTGAGAGCTTGACAAACAAGGCTGCTCCAAAGTCGTTTGTGGAAGAAGAGGAGGAAGAGTTTTAATGTAACCATTTATCCGCGAAAGAGCTCAAGCTGCTGATGCAAGCGCTAGGGCTAATTAGTAGTGGCGTCATTTAAGGGGGAAGGGACAAGCAGGGGTTCAAGTGCCCCTCCCCCACCCCTCCTCCCCCCGGTTTCAGGTGGGTCGGCTGAAAATAACAAAAAGTTGATAAAATTGCAGAATCATGGAGTTTGCTACGTCGTGAAAACGATGATACCCACTGCTGTTATAGTATCACGTAACAAATATATTTCCGAAAAAATTCTGAGGAGCAAAACAATTCTTATTTATTCTCCCCTCGAGGTTTTTTGAAATGGCGTCACTACTAATACATCTATTAGAGCTCTCGGCTCGTTTCTACCCTACTTTTCATTTTCCTTGTTTCTATCACTGCTGAGTTACGGAATAGAGCAGTAAGTGCACTCTAGGATGAGCAGTATAGCGATATTCTTGCAAGTTGGCAACAATCTTTTTCCTCCATTTGAATGTATGTAAAACAATCGATTCTTGGTGAGGCAGCTTGCTTTGCCTATAATCGAAATTTTCAATGAACCTCAATGAATCGTATTCGATACATCGAACAGGTGAGATTGTATCGATATCGATTGGTTTAACATGTAAATATAGCCTCAAAAGTCAGTTGTGTTATCTGAAAGAACGGGTTTCTTGTGATAGATTTTTGATTCTCATGAGTAGAAAATGACAATGAAGAGTGAAATTGTTAGGAATTTTCTCATTTTCAGCTTTCCCTACTTAAATCCTAAAATTTTTGTTTGAGGTTATGTTCTATTGTTTTGAACCAAACTATACATCGAACCACTATCGAATGCGAGTAATAAAGGGGTTGCCAGTTTGCAAAATCGCCACCAGGAATGAGCCTCGATACATACATGCTAAGCGTGGCAAATGCGCACTTATTAGCTCTCTTCCGTACAACACGGAAAATCTGATTTGAGCAGACACATTTGGCTGCTATAAAGTTATGAACACCCTTACTATCCCATAATAAGGGAGGGAAAACAAAAAAAAGACCATCCTGGCTCACTGCACCCGCGATTGCATACACGGGGCCAAGCGGGCGCCAACCAAAATCCGCTACAATCTATGTATTTGAACTCAATCCAACTTTTACAATGTCATTTTTTGTCCCGCACGAGCTCCTGATTAAACTGCATGCCGGTAAAGCTTAATCAGGTTCAATCTATGTCCTTCTTTTCATTTTGATGAGGCTTTTTTTCTGGCAAGGCACACGGGTGCTTTTGAGCCATTCTTTGCGGAAACGCCGTGTGAGCATTCCAGTGTTGCTCAGTGAGTGAAGTTTTGCGTTCTATTTGTTATAGGTAAAACTAACATATTTGTGGATTATTTTTATCGGAAAATTTAGTCA